TTTTTTTTTTTTTTTTTAACTCGTTATTATGACTCCTGCGTACTTTTCCCCAAACGAAAAAGAAAAAAAAAGAAAATAAACAAAGACAAGCAGACGCGCCGGTTCAACAGCAGCACTGTCCTCGTATCAGTCACGGGGGCGGCTTCTTGCAACGACGACAAGTGGAAGGAGGAGAATCGGACACGTGGCGCAATAATTTTACACGTTTATCGCTGGAGCATCAATCACAGAATAATAAAAAAAAAAAGGCGGGGGGCGGAAAGGGGGAAAAGAAGGAAAAAAACGGAAAAACAAAAAACAGACACGCAGAGGGATCACAGCAGTGCTGTCCACGTGTCAGTCTTGGAGGCTTGATGCGCCGACGACACGTGGGAGGAGGAGGGCATCGGACACGTGGCACAAGAATTCTCGACGTTGACATCAGGAGCGTTGATTACAGTGTAATCAGGCCGCCTGGGACAGAAGGTAATATTGACACCGGAGGCGTCTTTCCCATCACTTGTGACGTACAAATTGCTGAGGGTAAACCACAACCGACCCTTCATCCGTGACACGTCAGCACTATAAGTGTTGGCGCACAACGTAAATACACTGTGGCCGCCGCCGCCATCTTTTGCCACGTCAGCAACCGCTAAGAATCGGATAGCGCCGCCGCCGCTCGATGACATCGCCAGATTCGCCGAAAATAGATTACGGGAAACAATGGTGTTGACGCCTCCGAGAAATGACAGTACTCCTCCTCCTCCCCGCCCCGCTCTGTTCAGAAGGAACGAGTTCCCCTCAAGCTTGATATGCCTCAGATCATCTGAGAATGACCCCACCCCGCCTGTATTTCCCGCCGAATTCAAAATGAAGGTGCAGCCCAAGATGTGGCCAGTGATATCGCCATCTCCATAGCCAGCGCTTAAAGAAGAAGAAGAAGGAGAAGAAGAAGGAGAAGGAGAAGAGGAGGAAGAAGACGAAGAGATTGAACCCCCATTACCGCTAGCGCGATTATTCATAAACTCGGATGCGCGAATCAGGTACGACACAGTACCGGAGAAGTGCAGCGCGCCGCCGTTTTTGTCGTTTGTGACGGTGTTGTTTGCGAACACGCACGTGGCAATCAACACGTGTCCCGAGGAGGAAGCAGAGAGGACAGAGCCATCGCTGCTCGATCTGAAATTGACAAATATCAATCCGTCGAGAATGAGAGAGTGATTGGCGGGCAACACGATGCCGGCAAATTTACTCCCGCCGTCGATCATTGACAACATCCCGCCACCCACTAGGGTAAACGACTTTCCCGATTTGGAAAGTGGCGGCAGCGACTGATTGAGCGCAATGATGCAGTTCAACTCGTAGTATGCCACGTCGGGATCCCGGTAGGCGGTGAGGAACTCATCAAGACCGCAGCCCCGATCGTCGGCCGCGATCTGAAGTGGAGCTTCGCCAAGCAGCAGGAGGAGGAGGAGGAGGAGGAGGAGGGGGGAGGAGGTAACGAGGAGGAGAAAGGACAGGCGGGAAGAAGACGCGCACGGCCTTACCTTGGTCGTGGCTGTAAAGAACGGCCTCAGAGAGATCGACGTCATTCCTCCTCCTCCTCCTCCTCCTCCTCGTCCAACAACTCTTCTTCTCTCTTGTCCATTCCTGCAAACACCTCTTCGCGGTCTGCCGACAGCTGAACCACCAGCGGCAATCTCATAAGGACGACGGCGACTGCCATAGCCAACCTGCAACGAGTCCACCATCGCCGCCGTGGGCACTGACTGCAGATCCAGACTCCTATCAGAAGCGATCGGAGGAGAGGGAAAGGAGAAAGCCACCACCGAAGGAAGGAGGAAGACAACCCAACTTCAAGGAATCACAGTCGTACCGGCGATTCTAGAGCGACCACCACGCTCTACGGATCTTTTTTTTTTTTTTTTTTTTTTTTTTTTTTTTTTTTGAAACAACTCTCCTTCAATGTTAGTGGTGCTGATAGGAGCAGACACCACCACCGCGCTCTACGGATCAACGACTGAGAGTATGTAGACAAGGGTGTGTCAGTTCAAAACATCAAGTTGAAAACTTGAAGAGCAATCAGACGGCAAATTGGCGCTCACAGCTGATGGAAACCAGGCCACATGAAGACAAGAGGATGCCAAAGTGTGTACGCTGGCGCGAGGGATTGGACTACTGGGTCAAAAACAGCGTATGTAAGGACACACTCACACTAGAACGTACAATCGCTAATTATATGTGAGCCAATTTGCGATTATACGACCCTCCCCCGTCACACAGCACACTTACGTCACAAAACAGAAAGGATACAGTCTCCACCTGCTCCAGGAATGCGATTATACGGGGCGAGGGGTCACACAGCACTCTGCATAAAAATCCATCCCTTTGGGGGTCTCTGCACTACTCTTGAATCTTGAGAAAATCTTGAGAAATCAAGAGTTCATCACCGCTGCACTAACTCTTGATGCGGCATTCTGAATTTCCATTCAAGAGCTGTCAGATTCACTCTCGAAAACGTCAGAGTGAGTCATAGGGTCTCGCTCCACTACTGTCCACTGTACAAAAACGGACAGTGGTACTTCGCTCCACTTACTGTCCACTGTACATGTGCAAAATGGCTTGGACAGTTTTTAGAAACCCCGTCGGAAATCTACTTTCCGTGAATGTACAGCTCCCAGCCTGCAAAATTCGTTCAGTGGAAAGTTCTTCAAGGGACTCACGGTGAGGACCCAAATTTGGAGAGTGCACCTAGAGTCCGAGCGGACAAAATCCTTTCGACGCCCTGTCTTGTAGTTCTATCACTGCATCCGTAGTGAACTCACGAACTTGAGAGGTGGACAGCGGACAGTAAGCGCCTCGCCACACCAATGTCGAAAACTGCATTTTCGACATTTTCTCCTCGCCACACAGCATGTCGAAATCCGAGATGCAGAAAAAATTCAGGAGCTGTCAGGAAAAGGGTTTCGACACCTCCTGTCGAGAAGGGCTCGTTTCCCAGCCTGCAACTCGCACATTTTCAACGAGGATCCCAGCCTGCAACTCGCACATTTTCAACACTCCTCGGATGGGATGTAGAATTCTTGCCCGAATGTCGAAAAAGAGAACGCACCAACGCTTGTCCTATCTTCACCCCAGTTTGTCTCTTTTGTGCACAGGACTTGTGAGTTCTTCACTTCGGCATGCTGTGTGGCGAAGAGGGGTTTTCTGTCGAAAGAGGGAATGTCGAGAATTTCCTGACATATGTAGAATTTCGTGATGTTTCGACATTGGTGTGGCGAGGCCCTAAGTGCAGCGATGGCGTTTTCCAGATTTTGAACTCTCTGACTGCTGTCCGTGATCTGTCCAGAAATTTGTACAGCGGACAGTAGTGGAGCGAGACCCATAACTCTTGAATCTTGAGAAATCAAGAGTTCGGGCTCGCTGCACTACTCTCGACATGCACAAACGACAAAAAGCATGGCGGTGCATCTTTCCATATTCTAGCGGAAGATTCACTCTTGTTTTGCACATTTCGAGAGTAGTGCAGCGATGCCCTTCATCAGCTCTGCACTAAGAGGCTCGCCACACAGGCTGTCGAAAAACCGGTTTTCGACAATTTTGCATCGCCACACAGGCTGTCTACGAATTCCGGTTCAGAAAAATTTCGACAGGTGTCAGATTTGTGCTTTCAACAGCCACCATACCGCACTCGTTTCCTCCCGCCTGCAGCTCAAGGAAATTCGACAGTACACCGCTGGGCTTTCGAAAGTTGCGTTCGAATTTGGGTTGGGAGAGACTGCTCCCTGACAGCCGTGGCCTGTTGTCCGTATATAGTCAACAGTGGCTGTCAAAAACGGCGTCTGCATCTGGTCCTGTTGTGTGGACAAATTCATATATGTAACAACTCCCGACAGTCCACCACCTTCGCCACACAGCACCTCTCGAAAGGCGGTTCAGACTTGCCTACTTTCGACAATTTCGCCTCTCGACAGGCTGTGTGGCGATAGGGGGTGAAATTGTCGAGAGCCGGGCTGTCGAAAAATTACTGACACCTGTCGAAAATTTTCGACATTCGACAGCCTGTGTGGCGAGCCTCTAACTCTTGATGCCGCGTCCTGAATTTCCATTCAAGAGCTGTCAGAAACGGCCCATCTGACGAGCTCTTGAAGCTTCCACAGTTCCCGCCTGCAGGGGCATTTTTTTTTTGGAACAAGGCCGACCGGACCCTTGGTGCGGTTTGCAAATTCGAGAGTTGGCCTCCAGTCTTGGTGGACAAATCTTCGCTGCCCTGTCGTGTAGTGTCTTTTCAGTTTCTGGAACTTCTGTCCGACAGTCAAGAATGCTGACGAGAGTCCAGAGTCCGGAGTAAGTGCAGCTACCACAGCACTTGATGCCAATCCGGGAGTCTGACAGCGCTTTGAATTTTTTCATGCGTCTAGCGTAGTGCAGCGAGGCCCTTTTTCCTGTTTTTTTTTCCTTTTCTTACGAGAGCTGCCCACCAAACGTCGAATTCTTTTTTTTGTGTTTCCAGAAAGAAACAGGTCTAAAAGAAATACGCAATTGCGGGGACCTCCAGAGGTTCCCGTAAAATAGGTAACCCCGTGGCTGTCCAAGCCACTGACATTTACGTGGCCATTTGCATGAAAACGCAAAATACGTAGCCTATACCTTTCTCGGCCATTTGGGTAAGATCAAGGGCCTCGCCACACTACTCCCGGCTTGGCTATTTTCGGGAGTGCAGCATCGCCACACCAGCTCCCGAGTTCAACCTGTCAGATTGAATTCGGGAGCTGTCAGAATGTGGCTCCCCAGTGCACTCCCAAACTCACCGCCTGCAAAGCTTTTCTTTCGAGAGATCTCCTTCGCTCCTCCGAGTTTCATCCCAGATTCGGGAGTGGAGCTGGAAGGGACAAACGACTTTGCCAGACTGCTTCACACTGATCGTGTCCACTTGTGGCAAATGACATTTTCAGACTTTGAGCGCGGCCAGGTCGAGAGTGTAGTGTGGTGAAAGGCACTCCCGAGCGGGTTTTCACTTCCGGGAGCACTCCCAAAAATTTTCCCAAGTCGGGAGTGGTGTGGCCAGGCCCCATGTGTAGTATCTGTTCCCTAAGGACACCAGGGCGAAGGAAGAGAAAGCACCAAATGAAATTTGGTAAAAAGACAGAAAACCAGAAAGAGACGGCGCCGATAGAAAATGACAGAAGGCCAGAGTGAGCACACTGTGGGCCTCGCCACACGACTGTCGAAAACGAAAGAGAAAGAATGCATCTGCCGCAGAAAGTGGTAAGATGCATCCCTTGCTATTCATAGTAACGGATGGATTTTGCCCTTCTCTCGTGGAAGATGCATTCGTTCGTTTCTCATTTGGACAGTGGTGGCCAGGCCCTGCAACAAGCTTGTACTGTGTCAGAAACAGCACATTGGAAGTGTGAAGAGACAGAAAACAACAGAACCAAGTTGAAAGTGGCTAGCTCCACGAACTGTTGAAATACAGACTCAAGTTCGAATCCAGATACAGTCAGATGCCCAGAATTACCACAGTCCCAAGGGGCTTAGGGGCATAAAAGAGCATAAAGGGGTATGATAAAATTGAGTGTGTTATCTTTCATTTTGGATTCCATAGCCAATTTCGTGGTCACCCTCAGGCAAAAGATTTTATTTTTTTCCCTCTACAAAGAAAGGTTCCCTTTAGTAGTCGGGTCAGTGCCCAAGGCAAAAATACAATCCAGTACAAGTTTCAAATTCAGGGCCACGAGGTCTCCTGCAGCATCCACCAAGCGGAGCCCATCCCCCGTGAAAAAGGAACCAGAAATTGACAAGTCAAAGTCAGAAAAAGGAAAAAAAGAACCTCAAAAGAAAAACGAGAGACCCAAAAATTCTAGAAAATCGTAACAGGTCCAAATCAGGAATTCCTAACCCTAACAAATCCGGGAAAAACAACAGCAGCAATGAACCATCGTAACCGTCCGGACCGGGTTCCAGACAGTCCGGTGTCCAGTGTCCAGTCCTCATGTCCGGATGGAGGCCCCTGGGGCAAAAAGAAAAAAAAGGGGGCGGACCAGGACGTTTATCGGGTCCTGGCCGCCCTTCGAAAAATAACGGGGTGATTTTTCAGTGTCGTTTCACCCCACCGGACATGGCCTACCTTCTTCCCCCGAATACAACGTACGGTCATTATAGCTGTATTTGCGGCATCTTTCAGTCTAGATACAGCTTTAATGACCGTACGTTGTATTCGGGGGAAGAAGGTAGAGGTCCGGACACAAGACACTGCAGGTTTTTGAGGTGGCAGGTTTCGCACAGGCCCGAGCGATTTCAAAGCAGTCATTTGCTGCCCGTTGAGGGGTGGGAGAGAGAGAGAGAGAGAGAGAGAGAGAGAGAGAGAGAGAGAGAGAGAGAGAGAGAGAGTTATGAACTTAAATTACTAAATCCAAAGTTCAAAGTTCAAAGTTAATCATACTTTTTTCAAAAAAAAATTCTTTGTTTCTTTAGGGCATACTCACACTAGGGGTCTAATTCTCGAAATCGCAAAATCTGCTCTTCTTTTGCAGTCACACATTATCCCCGCCCCCACCAAAATCACAAAGCATGTAGTATTTGTCAGCGGCCTGCTGGGCCGCGGGGTGCAGCAAATTGCGAGGACCTCTAGAGGTCCTAGCAAATTCGCAATTGATTTTCTTATTAAAAAAAAAAAAACCTAGAACCTCCGCAGGCCACAAAACGGAATTTCTTGCCCACTATCGTCCAAAAATGCTACGTTTGGTCTCCCGTGAAGTCATACAACGGCTGTACTATCTTTGGCGTTATGCACAGCAGATTGCCTCTGTAAGGGGTTTGTCACTAGTGGCGGAGTCCCTTGCCCCCCCAGGTGAGCCCCATACGCGCTTGCGCTGCCCTTCCGCCCGTTTCTCATGCGGATAGTCTGGCCCTCCAGAAGAATAGTTAGGCCCTCCGCGAGAATAGAAGCACGTTCCGCCCAGCCTCCCCCCTGCTTCCTGGTCTCCGTGCTCCCACTGCACTCCCGCCACAGCCAGTCTTGCAAGTGGTCCACTTTCATAGGTGCATAGCACCTGGTCTGCTCGCCATATGTGACACAGGTTGGAGAAG